TGTCTTTCAGTGAGACGTGTTTCCCACATATGATTTTTTTAAGAGATTCGTTAATTTCGATTCAAACGTCAGTTGCAAAGTCATGCTAATAGTCGCCGTAAGTCGGACTAAAAACGAGGGTGGATGTAAATAGAAGAACAGTAATCATCGATAACGATCTCAAATTAGACGTCAAAAAATCCCYGTTCTTCCTGGGACCCGCGGGAACTTCAGGCTTTTTTCACCTGCCGAGATCCCGGAGTCCTTTTTTTTTTCCATCCTTACAACGAATCCGTAAACGTCCGCGGGTCCCGTTAGTTGAAACTCTTAAGAATAACCGGGTTTTTTTCTCCAGCAGAATCGCCATGAGCGAAGCAGCGTCAGCCTTTCCCGTGCTGCACGGGCGGTGCTGCCGCGGCGGGTAGGGGCGGCGGGGCCGCGGGGTTCTMCCTCCCGGGCCGGCCGTCGGAGCCCGCCCGGGGCTCCGCTCCTGGGCTGCTGATGCGAGCAGCGTACGGAGACGCGGCATGTGCGCTTGTGTGCGCGGAGTGCGGAGCCGCCTCCCGGCCCGGCGGGGTCCCGGCCCCGGCTCGTTGCCGCTGTCCTCCCGACAGTTATTTGCTGCCCCACGGCTCAGCGGGGAGCCGGGGCTGCCGTGCCAAGGCCCAGCCGAGCCGGGCCGTGCGGGGCCGCCCCCAGCTCCCCTTCAGAGTCTGCGCCCCCCTGCCCCCCCGCAAGCCCGGGCTCACCGGGGGCCAGCCGGGGTGCAGAGGTTGGGGGCGGGAGGGACGGCGGGGCTGGGCAAGAGCCGGGGGAGCGGGCAGAAAGGAGGGATCGCGGGAGGGACGAGTGGAGAGATGCTGGCGGAGGGGTGAGTGCGAAGGGCGGACGGAGGGAAGGCGGCACAACGGGGCTGTGTCCCAGCCGGGGGCGCGGGGAGAGCCATCGGGGCCGCGATGCACCTGTAACACAGTCTGGGTTCGGGGTGCTCGGAGGAACCCGGGCTGAGGGACCGGGCACCTTGGCAGCAACAAGGCCATGGTTCGGTGTGAATGTCCGTGACCGGGGCATCTAGCCTGGCCCGTGGGGAGCGGTGCTGGTGGGGAGACCCCCTACGAGGGAGGACGAAGGCAGCAGCCACCTATATCCCCCCCCCCCGCCACACCTGAAAGGTCTGGAGGATTGTGGGGTGCGGGGCCCAAACAGGGGCGGGGGTTGCAGCGGATGTCTGCTGCGGGGGGAAGCCTCGCCGGGGGTCAGGGATGGTGGTGGAGCGGCGGGGAGATGGCGATCTCAGCTTTGGGAACCGCTGCGGGATTTGGGGGTTGCCTTCGTGGGGAACGCGCGAGTCGCTTGGTGCCTCAACGGACTTTTGAGCCGTCGGGCTAGAGCTTTTCGGGACGAAGCAGATGTGTGTCCACGGAGGATGAGGAGAAAGTTGGAGAGGTGTCCCAACCCTTCTTCCGCATTGAGCTCTCTGCGTTTTCTCACTGCGGAGCTGTTCCCGGCGGAAAGGCGGCGGGACAACCTCGACCTCTCCCACCTGCTCGGGCGAGGTGTGAGCTGCGGGGAGCAGAATCTCTGGGCTCGATCCTAACACGCRCATCCGTCCTCTGGACGAATGCAGAGCCAGGGATAGAGCAATAATGGCTTAACGCCCGGGTTAGCAAGCCCTCGTCGAGACTGGATGCGCTTTGCAGCGGTCGAGGAACGGGACATGCATCCTCGGGATGCCTGTCAAACTCGGCCTCTGGGTATAGGCCCTTTTSGGGTGCAGGAAAGGGGTCGACCTCGCTTGCTGCACAGCGCCGTGCCACCCTCTTCTTCGGGTGGGTCGCTGCGAGATTCCTGTCGCAGGGCAGCCGGGGCCGGTTTCCCCTCCGTCGTCTCAGCTCTGCCCGGCGCTGCTCACGCGTGTGGGAACCCGGCGTGGCTGCGAGACCGGGCGGGGGATGTGGGAGGAGGGCAGTGGGGTCTTCTCTCAGGGATTTGGGGTTTTGGGGCTGCAGCTCCCCCGATTTTTCGGGGACCTGCTCCGCTGCCTCCTGGTCGATAACGATTCCCGGCGGGTTCCCTATTCCTGGTAGGCACCGCTCAACCTCCCGTCTGCCCACCGGGTGGACAGGCCAAGGGACCGGTCCGCGCCCAGGCTGTGCCCGACGTGGAGTCACTTACAGCTGGAGCTTTATGTAAAGGAGCAGGAAAAGAGAAATGGGCAATTAAGGCACGGACGGCAACCCTAAACTCTGCTGGGGCATTGGATTCGGGTCTTTTCTTAATTTCCAGGGGGMATGTTTCCTTTCCCCCTGGAACATAGGCTGTCCAGAGCCAGGCACACCTGGGGAAGGGACAGGTTCCCCGCGTCCCGCTTGCATTCAGCCCTTGTGTTCCCGGAGGCGACTTGGAGTTCGCACCCACGGCTTCTCGCTTTCCTCCGACATTGCCCCGGGAGCCCAAACGAAATCCCTTCCCCTGTTTCTTCTATTGCCACCGGGCGAGCAGTGCGGGTCAGCACCGGGATACTCTTCTCCGTGGCGTGTCCCTGAGCTCGGAACAGAAGCTGCCCTGGCCGGGAACCGCTCTGCCARCAGCAGCAGCAGCGGCAAAGAAACAGAACACCGATCATGTCACGCTCTGCCCTTATGCCGTTAGCTGCAGGAACATATGCTCAAATATGTAAGAGTAGTCTAGATTTTTCTCTGCAAATATTTTTACCACATCCAAAGATAATATTTCAACAGAAGAATCAAGCCCCGCAGGCTACAGACAGGGCAGCTATATATAACCCGCTTGCTCACTCCGGCTCTCCGCGCATCGCTCGGGTTATGCAACCCCCATCGCGACGGTAGCCACCGGCGCGCCCCACGGCTCCGCCCGCCCCATCGGGGCATTTTCCCGGGACCTCGGTGCAGCTACGCGCCCGGAGGGACCGGCACCGGGGCTCCAGCCGGCACCGTAGCGCGGTACTGATACCCGGGCCGGGCCGGACCCGGCGGGGSGGGCGCGTTGCTTTGCCCCGCGCCGATGCGAAGGAAGGGCCCGGGGAACGCCGCGGCGCTCCGAGGGGCCGGTAGCGGGCGGTGAGTAGCGCCTCGTCTTCGCCGGGGCAGGAACGGGAACCAGGCTCGGGCTCCCGGCCCAGACGGGCCGTGCAGGTGCGGCCGACGGAGCGGGCTCTCACGCTGGGCTGGGCGGGAGTTCGCCTGCCRCCTTGCTCGTTGCTTTCCGTTTTTTCCGCTTTTTTTGGCGAAGGAAATGCTCGAACAGCAAAGGGCGCTTTAGGGGTTTGGTGGCCCGCGGCTGGGGGCCCCGGCCGAACGAAGCAGCCGGCGGTACCTGCGCCCGCAGCGCGCCCTGACGTGCCCAGACCCTGCCTGTTGCGGCGGCTCGGACTGCGAGTCCCCGCGGYCACCGAGCCCTGGGGTCGCCCCCAGCCCCGCGGTGCATGCGAGCTGGAGGAAGAGAGCAATCCCTTCTCTCGGTGCCGGACATCCGCAGCCTGGCTCCGGGCTCGGCTCGGCTCGGCTCTTCCCGTCTGCCGGCTCCCGGCGCCGTGATTGACACCGCCGGCCCCTCCGCCCGCCCCGCAGCACATCCCATCCCTTCCCGGCGGCTGCTCGCCGTGCCCGGGAGGCGGGGAAGGGCCTCCCCAGCCCTTTGACACCGTCTCGGCAGGAGTTTCACTTCGCTTTCGCCGCCGCCGCCGCCACTTCTGCAGGCAAACACCCCTGGCTTCCATGTGACGCCTCCCAGCCACTGAATGGGGGAAAGAGCCTATAAGGGAGACACTTTCCCTATGTGCAGGAGAAAAGGAGGGGACGAGGGGGGCAGAAGCAGGAGGTGGTGGTTGAGGGGAACGGAAGACAGAAAATAAATTAATAAATCATAGGGAGCAAACTTGGGGGGMGGGAGAAATTGAGAACCCAGGAAAGAAATTCGTGGGATTTTTTATTTGTTGCCCCCCGGTCCGCTCTCGCTGACAGAGCTCGGTTCGCTGTTGCGGTGCTCGGCGCTTTGTACAAAGGGCCCCGGGGAAGTTTCTTGCTCCCCAGCGTCCTTCCCGGGGGGGCAGAGGGTTTAAGCTATTTTCTGTTAGATTTATTTTTTTTTAAGTTTCCCTTCCCCACCCCACTTCCCCCCCCCCACGCCCCCCGTCTGGAAGGAGGGGGTCTCGTTCGCACCTCCCTGGATAGTGCGGTAGAAAGGAGGGGAGTGAGGGGGTGGGAGGGGGGGCTCGTGGTGGGAGGCTGCCGCGGCTGCTGCTCCTGCATTGGTGTCTCCCCTATGGACGAAAACAGCCCTCTGTCTCCCAAGGCAAATGCTTTCAGTATCGCCTCTCTGATTTCAGTCGCCGCCGCCGAGCAAGCAGGGAAAGGAGCGCTGGAGGAGCGCCGCGGTGGCCGCAGCGCGCCCGCCCGCCCCGGCTGCCGCCCGCAGAAGATGCACTTCAGCACCGTCACCAGGGACATGGAAGGTGAGTGCCGCGCTGGGCCCCGCAGGGCTGCGGGRACGGGACCACCGGCCACCGCGCATCGGAGAGTTTTCACGCTGCCCAGGCCGGCAGCCGGGCTAGGGGCAGCGCGCAGAACGCGGCCTGCCCGCGGGGCCGATYGGAGGGGGCTTTACCGTTCCTCCCGGCACGCCTGAGCCGCTGTAGCCCTCCCTTAGAGAAAGGCATTGCCCGCGGGCTGGAAGCAGCTTTCGACGGCTCCACCGCTGCGACCCGCATCTTCTCGGAGGTGCTGAARCGTTCCCCGACAGCACCGGCCGTGCCCGGGACAGTGGCAGGCCGGGGCTCGGCTCCCACCGGCTCTGCAGCCCCTGTCCGGCCTGGGGGCTGCGTTGGAAATAACGCAAGAGATCCTCAGGACCTCGAGGAGCCTTTCAGCACCGGAGGGGATCCGAAGGACACGGCCGTTCCCCGGGGCGGCCTGTCATGAGTTGCAAAGCCCGCTCGGGCCGGCGGCCGAGGGCTGCTCAGCCAGCGCCGTCCCGGTGCTCCTCGCCGTGGACCCGGAGCTTTGCTCTGGTCCCGGCCTGTTCCCCCTCTCTCGTTCGGGGATGGAAGGAATGGGGCATTGCCAAACCAGATCCGACTTCCCCTGTCAGCCACAGCCCGGCGGCTCGAGGGCGAGAGACTTTACCTGCAGCAGCGTAGCTACACGGAAATAAGAGCCGGTTTCTTTCTCTGAGTTCCTTCACTCCTCTTTTTTTTTTTAAATCTTTTCCCCCCCGTTTTTTGTAATGGGGGGTGAAAGGAGGGAGTTTGTTTTGTCCCAAGTTGTGTGTGGCGAGGGAGGCCTGCAGAGATAGCA